CCCCCTGTTGGGGCTCCCTGCTCAGTGGAGAGTCTGCTTCTCCCTCTGGCCCTCCCCATTTGTGCTCTCTCGCTCTCTCTCTCTCTCTCTCTTAAATAAATAAATAAAGATAAATCTAGAAAGCTAGTATATTGGGTGCCTGGGTGGCTCAGTCATTAAGCGTCTGCCTTGGGCTCAGGTCATGATCCCAGGGTCCTGGGATCGAGCCCCTCATCGGGCTCCCTGCTCTGCGGGGAGCCTGCTTCTCCCCCTCCCCCTCCCCCTGCTTGTGTTCCCTCTCTTGCTGGTCTCTCTCTGTCAAATAAATAAATAAAATCTTAAAAAAGAAAGAAAGAAAGCTAGTATATTACTTTCCCAGAGCTGCCAGAACAAAATACCAGAAACTGGATGGCTTAACATAACAGAAATGTATTGTGCCCAGTCTTGGAGGCTAGAAGTCTAAAATCAAGGGTCAGTAGGGCCATGCTCCCTCTGAAACCTGTATCGAATCCTTCTTTGCCTCTTCTAGCTTTTGGTGGTGTGCAGGCAATCTCCGGAGTTCCTCGGCTTGCAGCTACATAATGCCAATCTCTGCCTTTCTCGCTGTGTGTCTTCCACTGGCTGTTATCTTATAAGGCACCAGTCGTATTGGATTAGGGGCCTGCCCTACTCCAGTATGACCTCATCTTAATGTAAGTAATCTGCAACTACCCTATTTCCAAATTAGATCACATTATAGAGTACTGAGGGTTAGGATTCCAATGTATTTTGGGGGAAGGGGGGTGGAAATAATTCAACCCATAACAGCTAGGAGAAAAGTGTAGACCATCTTTATGACTTTGGAGTGAATAAAGATTATTAAGCCTAGAACACCATAAACTATATAGTGAAAATGAGATGAACATGACATATTAAAATTAAAGGTTTATCCCAAACAAAGACATAACTGAAAAAGTTAAGTAATGAGTGAAAAACTGGGAGAAGATATTTTTGGCTTCCAAAAAAAAGTGATTAATTTCCAGAATAAACAAAATCCTGCAAATATTTAAGAATGGAAAATCAATAGAAAAAAATGGGCGAAAAATAGAATGGACAACTAACACAAAAGAAAATCCAAATGGCTAACAAGTCTGAAGAGATGTTCAACCTCACTCATAATCAGGAAATTACAACATGTTAGTTTAAATCTATCAGAGTAGCCAAATTTAGAAGCTCAGAGAGGAAAAAAAATGAAGTAAAAATAAATAAATAAATAAATAAATAATAAATAAAATAGAAGCTCAGAAAGGAACTAGTGTTAGTGAAGATGTGTGGAATTTGGAACTATCCTGCACCTCCAGTTGGTATAATTCAGTATGTATATTCTATGATCCAGCAATCCCAATCTTAGGTGTATAATCCAGAAAAACTCTTGCACAAGTCCCAAAGGATACAAGTACAAGATTGTTGATTGAAATATTATTTGTAGTAGCAAAGAATTCAAGGCAATGTAGATCTTCATTAGTCGGTGAATAATTAAGGATGGTGAGTTAATAAACTGGACAGCTATGCAGCAATCAGAAGCAATGAACCAGGGGTGCCTGGCTGGCTCAGTTTGTGGAGTGTGCAACTCTTGATCTCAGAGTTTTGAGTTTGAGCCCCAAGTTGGGTGTAAAAATTACTTAAAAATAAACAAAAATTTTTAAAAAAGAAGCAGTGAACCAGACACATAAACAACAACATGGAATGTTCTTAAAACAATATTGAGTGGGGCACCTAAGTGGTTCAGCCAGTTAAGTGTCCGACTATTGATTTCGGCTCAGGCCATGATCCCAGCATCTTGAGATTGAGCCCCGCCTTAGGCTCCATGCTCAGCAAGGAGTCGGCTTGAGATTCTCTCTCTCCCTCTGCCTCTTCCCCACAGTGCATGCACATACGCACGCTCTCTCTCTCTAAAATAAACAAATCTTTTTTAAAAAACAATATTGAGCAAAAAAAAGTAAAAATAGAAATTCACTTAATACCATTTTTGTAAATTAAAAACATATAAAGCCCTATACATCTTTTAGGAATATAGGCATATTCCAAGAACCATAAATTAAACGCATTAGAAAATGTGTCTATGAGGTGGAGGAAGAGATAGAAGTGGGAAGGGAGATATGAGAGAAAAGAAATGACATAAAAAATATTTTTACACAAGTTACTGCTAATAGTGTGTCAGAAATAAAACAGTATGGTAAAATCAGTTCTCAGAAAAAGAAAAAAAAGAATGAATGAATGAGAAATGTTTCTAAGAAAAGGAAGCAATACAAACAAAAATCATAAGGAAGGACGGCAAAGGATATTTCATACTGATGAAAGGAGTAATTCACTGATGTCATGTTAATATCATAAATCTTCATGCACCTAACAACATAACTTTAAAATGTATTAAGCAAAAACTGGTACAGCTAAATGGAGAAATTGACATATCCTCCCTAATAATGGGAGAGATTATTATACGTTCCAGAAGCCAACAGATCAAACAGAAAAAAAAGTAAGGGTGTAGTAGATAAGAATTAGAGAATTAATAAACCTGTATAGTCAGATCTCTGATCCCAACAATCAAAATGCACATCCTTTAAAAACATACAGAACACTTCCAAAACAAAACAAAAAACCCACATTGTATCACAGGCCATTCCAGATTGCAGAATAAGGTAGACGGTTCCCCCAAATCATAGAACAGGGCTATCATTTCCCTAATGTCAAAACTGGGTGAGGAGAGCACAAGAAAGAAAACCAAGGGCCAATTCCATTCTGAAAACAAATGCAAAACAACCCTAAATCAAATATTATTAGAAGGCTGGCACAAGACAAGGATTGGTCATTATCACCACGATCGGTAACATTGTATTGGAACTCTTAGCCAAAGGGGAAGGGGTGAGTTATAAAGAGTGGAAAGACTAAACTGTCATTTTGTTACAGCAACAGGATCATCTAGCCAGTAAAGTATGGAGAATTAAAACAAGTAAGAGTGAGTTCAACAAGGTAGCCAGATCCAAGATTAGTAATAAAAACACAACAGCAGTAACTGATCAGAAGAAAAAAATCCACGTCATAAATAAATAAGTAAAAACAGTAAGGTCCCAGTGAGTGAACCAGAGAAAACATGTACAAGATACCCAGGAGAAAATTATACCTGTATCTAAGACAGAAGACTCAATATTACAAAATCATAAATTCTCCCCAAATGAATAACTTATTCATTACAATCCCAAACAAAATCCAAAGCATTTGTTATGGAACTGACAAGTTCCATCCCACTCCCCATTCCCCTCTGTAGGACCCACCAGGTTTAGAATCAAGCCAGGTCCCTTTGCTCACCCAAGTCCTGACAGCCACTTGGAAACCACCTGTTCTGCTGCTCACCTGCCTCTCTCTGATTTGAGTCAACCCATAAGCAATTGGTAAACAGAGTAAAAATGTCGGCATAACACAAGCATGTTAGTTAATATCAATTTTTTTTCCAGGAAGTTAATATTTTGAAGCAATCAGGGGCAAGCTTTCTCACAGTTAAAGGGGAAGCCTTAGTGATCAAAGATCTTCACACACAAAAAGCTGCAAATCTGCAGAAGTCTCTTCCTTTAGATCCACAGTGGCTCCTTTTGGTGGTTTAAAGACCATAATGCTTGCTGCAAAGCTATGGTACGTGGCCAAGCTGTGAATGCCGATGAAGAAACTACAGTGATATTTTCTCATATCAAAATGACAGATTAATGAAGACAACCCTTAAATCAGACTTCTAATTTTGATGGAAATGGTCTCCGTTAGAAATTAATATCTCCAGACCAGCATCTCCAAAAAGGAAGCACAAGCCCCAGCCTTTAAAGGTTGCAAAGAAGGGAATGAAGGTGTTGCTAAACACGAATATCCGTGGAAATTTAACTGTGCTAGTATTTCTATTAGAATCCTTATTGGCTTTGTAGCTCTCTGATTATAAAGTTTCGTACGTTTTGAACAATCTGTCCCTAGTTTTATTTTTCCTATAAAGCCTTGTTATTTTTAGCACACTGTTTTGTAGAACTCCAAGCTTTTTCAGGAATGCATATATCAGTTATGGCAAAACCGCCTATACTCAGAATAAGGGGAGACTGTCTTCCAACAAGCATTCTTGGTAGGTCCTAAGTTTCCCTGACATGTAACCAGGAGACCAGGTATCCACTTCCTTCTCAGAGTGGAACAACTTCCCAGGAGCTGGGGCGGGGTGAAGTTTGGGGGGTAGTTCTCTGGAGTTTGGGAACCAGAGCCCATCATAGGTCCTCTCTTCTCTCCTCCCTCCAGACCTCCGGACCACTCAGGAGAAGCCAGTGAAAAGGCCCAGAATTTTGCCGCTTACAAGCTCACAGATCTTGGGCCAGTCACTGAAATTCTGCAGGACTCAGTTTCCTCATTCTTTAAATGGGAAGGCAGTGTTTTTTAAAAATCATGTTTAATTTAAAAATCAGCCTTTGATTCTTGCTTTGCCATTTACACCTCTGTGCCCTCGGACAAGTGACTTTGCTTCTCAATGCGTCACCTGTAAAATGGGGTCTTTGCGACACTTTAATGATGCCACACGTGCAAAGCACTTAGCACAAGATGCGCATTAAGCCCCAATAAATTGGAAGTTCCAATTCTGGGAGGCGGGGAATTCTCGAGGGTACGAGGTTTGACTGCTGAGGCAGAAGAACCCAGAACTGGTGGGGAAAGACATGGCTGTGATTTCCCCACGGACGGTAAACACGTCCTGCCAGCCGGGTCCTGCCCGCTGAGGCCTCCCCATCAGCCGGACCCCCTAGCTTGCAAGAGCCACCAACCCGCTTCCAGCGTTTGGGGCCGCCTCCCGCCGCGCGGGTCGGAGAACGGACTACATTTCCCGGCGTGCACCTCGGGTCGGGGCCCCGAGGGACCGGTCGGCTAAGAGGACCTTGTCCCAGCCGCGTTAGAGGCTGGAGGCAGTAACCACTCAGGAAGCTCCTGTATTTCGCTTTGCGAAGCTAGTCAGCCACCGTCAATCCCACCTTGAGCCGCGGACCCGCAGGGTCTGTGAGGAGCGCTTGGCCCCCTCCTCCTTCCCTCCTCCAGGGCGTCCGGGTCCCAGGGTCCGAGGCCGGGCTTATCTCCCCGGGAGGATTCCTTCAGCCCCGCGGGGTCCCCACTGTGGCCCAAGGTTGGCAGCGGGGCTCTGGAGAGGGGTGGAGGGGTAGAGGACAGCCTCGAGGCCGCGCAGCCGGAGACTACAACTCCCAGGCGGCACCGCGGCGGCGGCGAGCACGTCACTTAGGCACCGCCGGCGGCCCCGGGCAGCGGCGCGGGCGGGGGCACGGCTGGGGCCAACCGGGAGGCCGGTGCTGAGGATGGGGGCCGCCCGGCCGCCCCGCGCGTGAGAAGGCCGAGGGGCGCGCCACCCCGTCCCGGGGCGGGCGCCCCCCGGGCTCGGCCACCCCTACCCCGCACGGCAGTCGTGGCCCGGGATGCGGAGCCGGGGGCCGCCGGTGGAGCTGCGCGGGGTGAGAGGCGCGGGGAAGGGGGCTGCCTGCTTCCCTCACCCTCGTCCCCCACCGGCGGGCCCCGGCAGGAATTCGGGAGCCGCGCGGCCAGGCCCTCTTAGCGCCCAGACATTTGGGGGGACAGGTGAACCCGCCGCCCTACCCGCACCCCGCCCCGCCTGGGCAGCTGAATCAGAGGGGACGACCCTGCCCTTTTAAGGAGGCTTTTTGTTGCTCCTGCGGAGGGCTCTCCCCCCACCCCGCCCCCCAGCCATGGCCTCCAGGAACCCCCTAGAACCCGCAGGGACTGCCCCCCATCCTGGCCGCCGGGGCCCGCCCTCTGCATCCCGCGGGCAGCCGGTGTGAAGCGGCCTCCTGCAGCCCCCGGCCCCTCCCCCATGGAGGAGGAGGAGGACGGGGGGGGGACGGCCAAGGAGTGGGGCACGACCCCCACGGGGCCCGTCTGGACCGCGGTGTTCGACTACGAGGCGGCGGGCGACGAGGAGCTGACCCTGCGGAGGGGCGACCGCGTCCAGGTGCTTTCCCAGGACTGTGCCGTGTCGGGGGACGAGGGCTGGTGGACCGGGCAGCTACCCAGCGGCCGCGTGGGCGTTTTCCCCAGCAACTACGTAGCCCCCGGCGCCCCCGCCGCGCCCGCGGGCCTCCGGCTGCCCCAGGAGATCCCCTTCCACGAGCTGCAGCTAGAGGAGATCATCGGCGTAGGGGGCTTTGGCAAGGTCTACCGGGCCCTGTGGCGCGGCGAGGAGGTGGCTGTCAAGGCCGCCCGGCTGGACCCTGAGCGGGACCCGGCAGTGACAGCAGAGCAGGTGCGCCAGGAGGCCCGGCTCTTCGGAGCCCTGAAGCACCCCAACATCATTGCCCTCAGAGGCGCCTGCCTCAGCCCCCCACATCTCTGCCTGGTGATGGAGTATGCCAGGGGGGGCGCACTGAGCAGGGTGCTGGCGGGCCGCCGGGTGCCCCCTCATGTGCTGGTCAACTGGGCTGTGCAGGTGGCCCGGGGCATGAACTACCTACACAATGATGCCCCTGTGCCCATCATCCACCGGGACCTCAAGTCCATCAACAGTAAGTGGTGTCCTCCCCCCAAAACTTGCTTCCACAGAACCTTGTGAGGTCGAGCGTAGGTGGCGGGAAATGGGGACACCAGTAGACGCTGCCTAGGGCGGGAAGGGGCAGCAGTATACCTTCCGGGCCAAGTGAGGCAGGCCTTGCCCGTTAAGGGAGGAAAAGGAGGCTCAGAAAGGTTGAGGGACCACCTGTCCCCCAGACTACGGTCACAGTAGCTCAATAAATATGACTGGCCCTGCACTCCTGGCATAAAACAGCACAGATGCAGGGCCTGCCCTCAAGGCATCGACGGTCCAATCCTGATGCCAGAGTCCGCCACACAGAGACAGAAAGAACCTAGCCTGGAGTTGGGGTTTCTCAGCCTCCGCACTATTTACATTTGGGGCCGGATGATCGTAGGAGGCTGTTTAGCAGCCTCCTTGGCCTCTACCTGCCAGATGCCATGGGCATCCCCCACCCCCATCCCCAATTATGATAACCGAAACTTGTCTCCAGACATTGCCAAATGTCCCCTGGGGAGCGGGGGAGAGGGTAAAGCCACCTCCACCTGAGAACCACTTCCTGGAGTACTCCCAGGCCTCTGCCCCAGCTAGCCGAGGCAAAGTGGAGGTGAGGGAGGAGGAAAAGGGATGTGCCTTACGTAAAAAGCTTCCAGGCTGCCTGGCTTATCCCAGGCTCTCAGAAGTTGATTGGTTGGTTGAATGGGAACTGGGGCCAGGCAGAAGGGAAGGCTCCCCAGGACGCCCACCTAGACCCAGGAGCTTCTCCTGATGTTAGCACATATTAATTGAGCACCTATTCGCAATGGTTTCCACCCTTAACCGTCCTCCCAAACTGAAGATTTCATTCATTCCTCACATATTTCCCCGAGCGCCTGGGGCGTGCCACACCCTGCCCTGGGTCCTAAGTATATGACCCGGGAAAAATCCCACCTTCCTGGCTCTCCTCCCATCCTTCCTCTGCCCCACCTCACTCCCTTTCCTTTTGACACTGATGTATTCATTCTTTTCTTTTTTCATTTGGTGTTTGCTGGGCCAAGTCATGCGCCAAGGAGCGGGCTCAGCAGTGAATGAGGCCAACGTGTGCCCTGCCCTCACCTGAAATGTGACGGGTTCCCCTTTGCCCTCACCTTTGGACCCCCACATCTCATCTATTTCTGATTCCTGCCAATTCCACACCTTGACATTTGTTTGAATCTATCCCATTTGTGTGTGTGTGTGTGTGTGTTTGGTTTTTTTTTAAAGATTTTATTTATTTATTTATTTGAGAGAGAGAGAGAGAAACAGCATGAGAGGGGAGAGGGTCAGAGGGAGAAGCAGGCTGCCCGCTGAGCTGGGAGCCTGACGTGGGACTCGATCCCAGGACTCTGGGATCATGACCTGAGCTGAAGGCAGTCGCTTAACCAACTGAGCCACCCAGGCGCCCCGTGTTTTTGGTTTTTTTTTTTACAATTTTGTTGCTCTGCCCCCGCCACCGCCACCGCCACCGGCAAACCCCTGCAGCAGAGGGATGTGTGTTCCTTACCTTCCAGGCCTCGCATTTGGGCACTAACAGAGCTGCCAGGAGCTCGAGGGGTGCCAAGCGCTGTGCCAGGGCTGGGGAATGGAGCGGGAAACACAGAAGGCTCCTGCCTTCCCTGATGCTCGAAAATGCTGGGCAAGTGGACGCAGGACGGGCAGCATGCTCCTCTTGAAGGCTGAGCATGCTCTTCTTGGCCCTTCCTCACCCCTGCTGATTCAGCAGCCTGAAGGTGGGGTGTAAGGACACACACCTGGGCCCCCAGGGTTTCCTGCAGCCAGTGTCACCAGGACATAGGGTTGTTGGGGCTCTGTAGGCCAGGGCTGCCTGCCCCGGCAACGGGACAGCTCCATGCCTGGGACAGGTCACAGGGCCTCCGCAGGAGCCCCTCACCCGATGTCGCTCATACACTGGTTCATTCAACCAGTATTTGGAAGCAAAATTAAGTATACAGGCCCCTTCTTAAGCTCTGGGATTTCAGAAGTGAACCAGGCAAGATCTCCCCATATGGAAGTTAGAGGCTAGTAAACAGAAGTTGATGATCGATATTTAGATAGATAAGTAGATAGATAGATGACAAAGTTTCCGGAGAGTATCAGGGGCTCTGAAGTAAATAAAACAGATCAAGGATGAGGCAGAAGGAGCTCTTTCAGTCAGATGGTCAAGGGAGGGAATCCTGGCGCAGAGACCTGAACAAAGACGACCAGGCCTTGTGAAGGTCTGGGCAGGGCCAAGGTCCCGACGTGGGAATGAGCACACCTTGTTGGAGAAACAGGGAGGAGACCAGAGGGGTTGGAAGAGGAGAAATGAGGCAGAGTTAGGAGATGAGGTCAGAAACGTAGGCAGGGCCCAGATCAGGATGACCCTGGGGGTGATGATGAGGATTTGGGGTATTTTATTCAATGCCATGGAAGCCATTAGAGGGTTTCTAAGCAGGGGGTGACGCAGATGGGAGATGCAGAAATTAAGTGTGAGACCGTAGTGTGTTTCCTCTATCACAGGGTCACCCACAAACAGGAGAGGTGGGGACCCAAGAAGGGAGGGATGGAGTCACATGCTAGAGAGTCGAGGGAGGCCTCTGGGCTTTGATGATAGTAGAAATAGCTTGCCGTTATGATGGGAGAAGTAGCCAGGAAGGGTCAAAGATCCAGGTGGAGAAATAAGGGCCAATTTTGGCGACATCACGCACGAATAATAATAGCTAACATTTTGTAAGGACGTGTTGTTGCTTCAGGCCATAAATCCTTCTTACAACCCTCTAAGATAAATATGACCACCATCTCCATTTAACAGAGGAGAAATCTTCACGTTAAGAAGAATACATTAACAAGGTTATGCAGTTAGTAAGTGGCAAAGCTGGGATTCAAACCTCGGCAGGACTCTGCACACTTTGGGGCCTCTGTTTGACAGAAGCTGGTAGAATGTCATAGCAGTTAAGAGATTGGGCTCTCAGGTCAGATCTCAGCCAGGTCTTTGCTGCAGTTTTTGAGCTGTGTGATCTTGGCCAGGGGACTTCATCTCTCTGAGCCTCAGTTTGTCAGTCGATAAAACAGGCTGCTTTCTAGTTAATTCATGTGAAGGGCTTAGCACAGTGCCTGCCATATAGTGGGCTGCTGGTAAACACCAGCTATGATTATAATTGTTGTTCGTAACAATCCCAGGCAGCAAGTTGGAGACACTTGATATGCTTGGGGGATACATCTGTCCGATTTTGTCACTGTAATGCTGCGAAACAAGCCACCCCCAAAACTCAGTGTCTTAAAGCTTGATGTCATTTATTACTGCTCACACATATGCACGCCTGCTGGAGGGTAAGCTGATTTAGGCCGGGCTCAGCCGGAGAGGCTTGACTCCAGCTATCTCCCATGTCCCTTGGACCTGCAGGCTAGCCAGGCATGGTCTTGTGGTGATGGCAGAAGCACCAGAGGGCAGGCAGACGGGTGAGGCCTCTCAAGGCCCAGGCTGGGAGCTGGCATTCTGTCACTTCTGCCTCATCCTGTTGACCAAAACAAGTTACATGAACAACCCCAAGTAAAGGAGGGGGAAATACACTCTGCCTGTTTCGGGGAAAGAAATGCACAGTCACGTGGCGAAGAGTGTGACGCTGCAGAAAGGAG